CCTCAGTTGCATGAATTATACTTCAAGTGCTCAACAGCACTCGACAGTGCAGATACAGAACATTTCTATCAGTGTAGAAAGTTCTACTGGACAGCTCGGTGAAGGACTGGAAAAAACAAGAGCAAACTGGTGGTCCTGAGCAGTGGCCATGAGCCAGAGGTGAGGGCAGTGTTGGAGCTCCATAAGAGACTGAGATGCCCCCCTCTTAGTTCCATCAGAATACAAAGAATTTCTGGTGAAAGGGACTAGAAAATGGGGAGGCACAGGATGCATCTATGGAATAAGTTTATCACCATCACCCATGTCTCCTCTACTGGTTTCCCAAAAGGCTATGAAAACAGAGACTCAAGAAAAAAATATATATAGGGTGAGTTTCCTCTGTGAATAGGGTGATCAGAGTGACAAGGAAACAAAGCTGAAGGGCAGAATGAGAAAACTGGAAGAGTTCAAAACAGTGGATCGCCTCTACTCTGGCTTTACAGCAGAACTGTCTGTAAAGTATTTTAAAATGTCAAAGATTCGGGCTGTACCCCAGACCAGTTAAATCTGGTATCTGGGAGTGCAGCCCCAGCATCAGCATTTTTTAAAAGTTTAATCTCCCGCCACAGCCACTTTTCCAAGGTGTCTTAGACTCTACCTTTTTCCCTCTGCATTCAAATTATAAGAGAAAATAATGAACATTATTATGGCTGATAAACCTGTAAGAATACTATGATTACCCTGACATTAAAGAAATAGTTTAAATAAAACTATATGTAAGAATCAGTATATAACCTGTATTCTGTTGTTAGGTACAGTTTCTTGAGAAAAAATGGGTCCAACAAAATTAGTGTTAAGGGCTGTTGTCAATTGAAGATCAAACTTGTATATCTAAAGAGCTCAAAAACTGCAATATAAATCAATAGAAAAACAGATTTTGCTCTAAAAAGCTTCATCTGGCATAACTATCCAGACCCTGGAGCCCTGGTGGCACAGTGGTTAAGGGCTTGGCTGCTAACCAAAAGATTGGCAGTTCAAATCCACCAGCCGCCCCTTGGAAACCCTTTAGGGCAGTTCTACTCTCTCCAATAGGGTAGCTCGCTATGAGCTAGAATCAGCTTGATGGCAGTGGGTTTGCTTTCTCTTTGTTTTTGTTTTTTTTGTATCCAGACACTTGTCTACTCAATATGGACACATACTATTGTCGACTGTAAAAAGCAGTAAAATAGCAAAATGTGAACCTAAGCCCCAACTTCTGAACTGAACAAAAAATTAGGATATCAAAAAAAAAAGAAAAGTTCACTCCAATACATTCCTGTTCGTGAATTTAGACAAGGAAATTTGGAAAAACATCTTCACACGTGCCGTTTCCACTTTCTTACCTTCCATTCTCAACCCACTCCAATCTTGTTTCTATCCGTTTTGTTGAAGTCTCCAATGCCCTTCATGTTGTTGGATTTGACCACCACCATCTAACCAGTTGCTAAAGTAAAAAGCCTGGAAATTATCCATGATTCCTTCCTTTCCTTCACCACCCTTATCTGATGCAACAGCAGGTCCTATCAATTTCTCCTCCAAAATATATGCTGAATCCTTAACATTTCTCTCCATCCCCATAGGCCGACTACTGCTACGGTCTCTTAACCTGTCTCCTTGCTTCCATTCATGACCTCCCTAGAACCCACTGCTACCACTGCAGTCAGAGTAATATTTTAAAGACATAAATGTCACTGTTCTCTTAACAGTCCCCAAAGGCTTTTGGTAACAGCAGAAAACATCCAAATGCTTTATCATCGCCTACAAGGCCCAGCTGCATCGAGCTCCAGTCTATTTTCCCAACATCTTTCCTTATGGATCTCTTCCACACTCTGGCCCTAATTCTAGTCTAATATATACACATACATAAACATATATATATATATATATATATATATATAAATGCCAAAGAGTTGTACTTCTTTTTTTTAATTGTACTTTATATGAAGGTTTACAGAACAAACTAGATTAAACAGTTAGTACACATATTATGACATTGGTTACCAATCCCACATGTCAACACTCTCTCTTCTCGACCTTGGGTTTCCCATTACTAGCTTTCCTGTCCCCTCCTGCCTTCTAGTCTTTGCCCCTGGGCTGGTGTGCTCCTTTAGTCTCATTTTGTTTTATGGGCCTGTCTAATCTTTGGCTAAAGGGTGAACCTCAGGAGTCACTTCATTACTGAGCTAAAAGGGTGTCCAGGGGCCATACTCTTGGGGGGTTTCTCCAGTCTCCGTCAGGCCAGAACTCTGGTCTTTTATGTGAGGTAAAATTTTGTTGTACATTTTTCTCCAGCTCTGTCCTGGACCGTCTATTGTGATCCGCGTCAGAGCGGTCAATGTTGATAGCCAGGCACCATCTAGTTGTACTGGACTCAGTCTGGTGGAGGCCATGGTAGTTGTGGTCCATTATCTAGTCCAGTATTTTAAGCACTTGCTATTTCCACTGCCTAGCATATTCTTTCCCTGGTTCTTCACATGGCTGTTTCCTCTTATCCTTCAGATTCCAATTCAAATGACGCTTCTTCACAGTGCTTTTCACTGACCACTCCATCTAAAGTAGCCATCTCTTTACCGTGTACCACATAACCCTACTTATTTCTTCATAATGTTTACCACAATCTGTAAAGGGGGAGAGGGGATATTTGTTTTCTTTCTTTTATACTAGAATATAAACTTTATAGTGGTGAATGCCTGGTATATGCCAGATATTGTTATAGGCCCTAGGAAACAGTAAGTGAACTCGAACCTCCAACCTTATAAATCTTGTCTATCCTATATACCACTGCTTCCTAGGACCTATAACAATATTTGGCATACAGCGGGCACTCCATAAGTAATTTGTTAAAGCAGTGAATACTTAAATGGAGGCAGTGCCTCTAATACTGGACTAGGAATGTCAATTACCTGGGTTCTATCCAGAGTTGGCGCTAATGGCAATTAGCTACGAGGTCTTGGACACACAAGATTGGTGTGGCTGGAAGATAAGAAAGTGGAGACAACAAGTATAAGATTTTTTCTCAATTTCCTTAACTGTCGAAATTTAAGAACATAGATGTATTGGAGCCTTTAACCTCTCTGAATCTGTTTCCTCATCTATATGTAAAAACCCATTGCCATTGAGTCCATTCCAACTGATAGTGACCCTATAGGACAGAGCAGAACTGCCCATAGGGTTTCCAAGGAGCAGCTGGTGGATTCAAACTACCAACCTTTCGGTTAGCAGCCTGAGCTCTTAACCACTGTGCCACCAGGGCTCCCATCTATATGTAAGGGAGTAGATTAGACGACTTTGAATATAACTTCCAGCATAGAAATACCAGAATTATATGGATTTCAATCTACTTTCCAACCTTAACTTTCCTTACCCACCCTTTAAGTACACTCCTTCCACACTCAGCAAACAAATCAAGGTATTCACGCTGCAAACAAACATCACACCAAAAACCCAAACCCGTTGCCGTGGAGTTGATTCCAACTCATAGTGACCCTACAGGACAAAGCTGAACTGCCCCATAGGGTGTCCAAGGAGTGGCTGGTGGATTCAAACTGTCACCCTTTTGGTTAATAGCCGAGCACTTAACCACCGCACCACCAGGGCTCCTAAACATCACACACTGCACTTTACTGCCTATCCCTTTGCTCATTAGGCTGCCTCTTCTCCAACTCCAACCAGGAGAAATTCTTTCAGGCCCCAGATCAATTGCTAACTGCTTCATTAAGCCTGATCCAATCACCTAGCCCAAAACCAGTATGATCACTATGTGTTCCTTCCTGCCAACTCCGTTGTGCTTCAAATTAGAGTATTCCCTGATTTTACCACTGCCTGCTTGGACTAGTAACTTAACCTCTCTGAGCCTTGGTTTTCTTCCTAATTTGTAAAATGAAGACAATTGTATTTACCATACCATATACTATTGTTGGATAATTTAGAATACTTAGAAAAGAGTTTGATATTAAAGTATTCAATAAATGTATTATTTGCACGTTACACATATTTTTCAGCCTCCTTGAGGACATAAAAGTGTCTTTTTCATTTCTGAACCTCTAAAGGTATGAAGTCATTTCACCTCCCAATGTCTTGAGTTTTGGTATCCATAAAATCAAAGGAATGGACTAGATGAATTACCACTACCTCCAAAAAAGAAGCTCTGTATCTGTAACCAATAAACCAAATCAGTTGCCAAGGGGTGATTCCAACTCATGGCCACCCCATGTGCATCAGAATGGAATTGTGCTGCCTCGGATTTTCAGTGGTTGATTTTTTGGAAATTGATTGCCAGGCCTTTCATCTCTGGGTGGGCTCGAACCTCCAACCTTAAGGTTAGCAGCTGAGTGTTAACCTTTGCATCACCTGAGAACTCCTCTATACCTATACCTTCACATAAACAGCCTAAAGAAAAGATGCTGCAGGTGGGATTCTTTAAGGAGAACTGGAACTACTGCTGCAAACGGAAGCGGGGTGGAAGCGTGAAAATCAAGTAACATTCGTCCAGACTTTAGGGAACCTTTCCAAAGAAACTACCTCTTGCCACAGTGACTAGATCCTCTGAGCTGTTTGTTCTGAAGCTGAGGACAAAGGATGAACTTGGTATCTGTGAACTCCTGAAAGCGAACACAAAACTGTGCTTCCCTACGAACATGCAAATTTTTCTACACCGAACATTAGACATTTAAAGGTGTGTGCCCCAGAAGGCGAAGGCCATACCGACTTGAGGAAAATGTTTACAAGTCACAAACAGATGCATGTTTAGACCACAAGGTCTGCGCCCTTCACCTAACCCTAGCCGTAAGCGGCGGTAAGATGACCTATGACCCCTAGGAAGCCGGGGTCGGACAGAAACCCTAAGTCATCCGCAGGACGTCTGCGGACGGACTGCAACACCCACAGCTCGGCACCTTTCCCAGGCCTGCCCCGAGTCCGCACGCCAGCGGCTGACACCCGGCCCGAGGCCCCTCAGTGACGCCCGCTCCCTGCCCCGGTACCTGCGGGGTCGAGCGCCATTTCGGCGGTCAAACAAGGAAGTAGCCTGGCGGCGGCTCAGGGGCGGGGGGAGGGGGAGGGGAGGAGCCTCGGCTCCACTGCACGTGCGGCCGCCCGGAGCCTCCCGCGTGAGGAGGAAGAGGAGGAGGAGCGCGGCGCCCTTAGCGAAGCCGGGCCAAGCCCCTTTTCCTTCCCTAGTTCCTACTTCCGCCGCCCACTGCGCCTGCGCGCTACCGGCCCCGCCCCTAGTCCTGTTACTCTCCACAGTGAAACCGACTTCCGAAGGGAAAGGACCCTGGGAAGGGGGCGGGGCTCCGCGCGGCCTGGGGGTGGGGCCGTCTCAGCGTGCGCAGCTTCTCTTCGGGCGGAGCGCAAGCACCCGGTGGCTGACCCTGGTCTGAGGTGGCGGGACCCAGAGCTGTGGACCTTGGGGACTGCGCTTCTTTCGGCGATTAGGTCAGAGTTCGAGACCTCCCATGCCCGCTTTCGGAGAACCAAATGAATCACCTCGTTCCTTTCATTGTTCCTTGTTAACGTTCATTCATTCATAAATGTCTTATTTCACGCCTGCCAAGTGCCAGGCACTGTCCTGCGTAGTAGGAGAAAATAATTGACTAAAAATAAGGTCCCTGCCTTCAAGGAGTACAGTGTTGGCAGGGGAGTAAGACCCAAGCCACATGCTGTAAAATGGGATAAACGCCACACGCGCGAGATGTGCACAGCGTGTTCTACCATAGAAGTGTGTGCAGTATCATTTCTTCCCTAAGCAACAGCCTGTGCCTTCCTGGAGGTCATAAAAATGAGGACGCTAGGGGTACCTCTGTTTTGCGAAATAATATCCTCAGGGCATGCAGTCCGTTTTGACTGGTCGCTACATCCTCCTTAAATCCTGATTCAATTAAAGCTGGATGTTTTGTGAGGAATATGAAGGCAGGTGATGGCCGTCCTCCTGAAGTCCCCCAATAGTAGAAACTTTCTGGGTGGTACTAATTCCCACTCACCAACCAGCCTTCAGAAGTGCTTCCTTGTCAAGTCCACGTTTAACTAGCTAGAGCCTCCAAAGGGTGAAGTGCGGCCGGGGACAGATGGGACAGATGTTTAGAAAAACAAGGAGCAGCTGCTTCTTCCCTGCGAGGGATTTAAGGCTTTCAAAATGATCCCCTCCCCGCCTACCTGCAGCCTCTCCTCCCCTGCTGCTGCTTCCGCCTGGTCAGTTGGCAGAAAAAGCTGACACAGTTGAGCAGGGCTGGGAAAGTGTGTCTCTGCTCGGCAGGTCTTCCGTTTAAGGGCCTATTTGGGCATAACGGCCCTTATTACAGCTGTAGTTTGAGGTGCCAAGGTAAGGAATTGACGTTGCACTCAGGCAGGAAACCGGGTCCTTTTCCTTGTATATTTTTATAGGCAACACCCCAAATTCACTCTGGAACTGCTTTTATTTTTTCTGTAAAGGATTTAATTTAGAAAGAAAATCACTTTGAGGTAATGAGGTTTACAAAAACACAAGTCACACTCAAGAAACGAAACCAAATATTTATCCAAAAGGGCATCATGGTAAAGGGAGAAATTTTGAAGGGCTTCAGTTAGAGACCTGAGTACTTGAACGTGAATCCTGTATCACTACCTGTTAGCTTTGTGACATGAATGAGTTATAAGACTCACTAGCAAAAGTAAAACCTCATTGTCTGGTGTACTAAACATATTGCTGTCAAGTTGATTCCAACTCTTGACAACCCCGCATGTTTACAAAGTAGAACTGAGCTCCTTACGGTTTTCTTGGCTGCAGTCTTTACGGAAGCAGGTCGCCAAGCCTTTCTTCTGTAGCACCGCTGAGTGGGTTTGAACCAATTTCTGCTCCTAGGCAATTGTAAACTGTTTATGCCACCCAGGAACCTAATTCAGTGCCTGGTACCCATTGCCATCAAGTCAATTCTGACTCATAGTGACCCTATAAGGCAGAGTAGAACTGCCCTATAGGGTTTCTAAGAAGCGGCTGGTGGATTTGAACTGCTGACCTTTGGGTTAGCAGCAGAGCTCTCGACCACTATGCCACCAGGGCTCCTCAATGCGTGGTACATAATAGTAAATCTGTCCACTCTCATATAAAGCTGAATAGTTTGCAGGAAACTGCCTTTACAACATAACTGGGGAAGATAAGTGATAAAAAGAAAGTTAAACAAAACGAAATAAACAAAAACAAATCCATTGCTGTCGAGTTGGTTCCAACTCATAGTGACTCTATATAGGACAGAGGAGAACTGCCTCATAGGGTTTCCAAGGCTGTAATCTTTAGGGGAGCAGACTGCCACATTTTCCACAGAGCTGCTGGTGAGTTCGAACTGCTGACCTTTCCGTTAGCAGCCAAGTGCTTAACCACTGTTCAAACCAGGACTCCTTAAAAAGTAAGTTAAATCACAGATGTTAAATTAGCAGTTGAAAACAGAAGAAATGTCCTAAGGCACCACATTGTTAATAGGTAATTCTTTGGGCAATAATAGCAATGGGAGTTTAAAGGAGGAGGCAAGCACATGGTCCTGGAAGTTAGGAACTGTGTGTTATCTAACCATGATCCCCACAACTCAGACAATGCCAGCGCCTAATGGCCCCATGGTAGCTTCTTATGAAGGAAAGAATGCCAGTGTGGTTAGGAAGACTTCAAAGATCAGGCAAAAATTATGCTTGGTCTTGAAAGATGGGTAGCACACGGGAAGGCCAAGAAGACATGCATGCTAGGGAGAAAAGCAATAGCAAATGCATCTGGGATGTGAGCTGTTCTTAAAGGACAGTGGGGCATGGAAGAGGAGGAGGGCAAAGAATGGAACCAGATGAGCAACAGCACAGGGGTGGGAAGCATAGGGCTATGTGACAAGCAAGTAGAGAGCCATGTCTGAAACCACTTCAATGAGTCTGAGGATTTAGGAAGTTGGGATAGTGAGACTGAAAATGTTAGAAGAGGCCAGATTCTCAAAGCCTTAAACATTAGCTTGAGAGTGTTTGAATCTGTTGCTATAAGCAGTCAGAAGCTGTTGAAGGTTAACAAGAAAAAAAATGGCATTGTGTTCAAAGTGATGTTTTATAAAGATTTTATGCAGAATGGAGTTAGCTGGCCAGCAGAGAGCCAAGAGGTAAGCAGAAGAGTGAGAAAGTTACTGCAGTAATTCAGGCGGAATCTGGTAAGGGGCTGAACTAGGAAGTGTAGAAATGTAAAAAGAAAAGATAGGTGTAAGAGTAATTACAAAGGAAAAATCCATACTTTATAATTGGACTGAGGAGGATAAGACAAGGAGACAAGAAGGATTCTCTAAGGGTTTCCTTTCCTTGGCAATGGACACAGACAAGTAAGAAAATATAGAAATGGGCCCATTTAGACCTCAACTCAAATGACATGCCCTTGATCCTCACTGCTGCGGGCAAATACTGGGACAGAGAAATAAGATAGGAGGCAGGTGCATTAACCCCGGGGAATAATGACTGAACCACAATACAGTCTGTGAAGGCAAAGAAAAATGAGGTTTAAATTAGACTGGACATTTAAATATATATATGTACATATATGTGCATATACACATACATATTTCTTAATCTAATATCTTAGTCTAATATCATATATTCTTAATGTAATATTGCATATGCATAGGAAAACTGGACAATGAATAAGGAAAACCAAAGAAACATGCATTTGAATTATGCATTTGATTATAGTGTTGGTGAAGAATATAGAATATACCATGGATTTCCAGAAGAATGAACAAATTTGTCTTGGAAGAAGTACAGCCAGAATGCTCCTTAGAAGTGAGGATGGCAAGACTTCCTATCACGTACTTTGGACACATTATCAGGAAGGACCAGTCCCTGGAGAAGGACATCATGCTTGGTAAAGTAGGTCAGTGAAAGAGAGGAAGACCTTCAATGAGATGGATTGGCACAGGGGCTGCAACAATGGGCTCAAACATAACAACGATTGTAAAGATGGTGCACGTCCGGGCAGTGTTTCATCCTGCTGTACATAGGGTCGCTGTGAGTCAGAACAAACAAACAAACAAAAACAACTCAACAACACCTAACAACAACAATATCCAAGGAATATGTAAGTAGAAACAAATATCTTGTTTATCAATTCAATTTTGACTAGATCTAGCATTCCTTTTTATTAGATGCTAATATACGGTTGGTTGTTTTTTGAAATTGAGCCCCCTCTTGCTTCCAACTCTGCCCAGCATCAGAATGAAAGACTTTCCACCTGTAGGTCTGCTCTGCCCTGTCCTTGAGCCAGTGAGAATCAATTCTGGAAGAATATTAGAAGACCCATTCCTACCAGTGGATGGAGTTTGGAACGAGTTTTTGGCTAGAAGATCATTATTCCAGAGTCGCTGGTGGCCCTGCCTGCTTCTGAGCTGCATGATGTAGCTCACAGTTCTTATGGCCTGTGCCTTTTCCATACAAACAGACTTTGATCCAGGTTAACACTCAAATTGTTTACCAGGACTAGAACCCTTCTCTGAATCCCAACTCACTTGGCTAGAGCCCTGGCAAGTGACCTAGCATTATTGTCTCCCCAGAGCAATACACTTTGTCCTGTTTTTCTGGTGTTTGAATAGGGCCTGCTTCAATCTGGATCAGTCCACCTATCGTCCTCAGTCAGCTCCTGTCTGTCCCTCATACCCCAGATCCCATTATTACAACATCCACTCAATCCTTCCTTTGTAATATATCTTTATTTCACCTACCAACTACAGTGTAACAACTTGTAGTCCAAGATCTATCCCCTTTTGCATAGATCATTATAATAACCTCCTAACTGGCTTTCTGTTTCTATGCTTTTCCTCTTCCCACTCATTCTTCTTAATCCATTTAACCACAACAGCAAGTATGATCACAAATTTTTTTACATAGAATCTTCCAGTATTTCCCTTTTTAAGTCGAATCTAAACCCTTCCCTTTAACAAGGTTCTCAAATCTCTTTGTACACTAGTCCTAGCTTACTGAATTATCCTTTTGTCATCAACCTCCTTGTACTCTGCAATTTCTGCTATACTAATATAGTTGCAAGAGTTT